GAATGGAACTGAAGATTTGGCAAATGTATTCAGTGTGATGGAGAGTACTTTGAAGGTGATAAAGTTGTTTTGTAAAAAAAACCAAAAGCTTGAAATATATAGCTCTGAAAAAATTTTTAAAACTTTTAATGTGGGTTATTGTGTCCTATTCTTCTCCAGCACGTCATTCAAATGCACCGTCTTCTTCAGCCTTCCTTGCTCGACGGCCACCTTTCACGCGCACGAGGCACTGAAAGTGCCGTGGTTGGGCCAGGGCACCTTGGAGAGTGTCCTCTCGCCTGCTATTCGCTGGGGAGATATAAAGATTGGAAATGTTCCTCAAACACTTGGAAGGGCCTGTCAGTCTTCTGGGCTGTGTCCACTTGGTGGGAACATGCTTCAGTACCGATTCACTTTCTTTAAGCACACAGGACACTCTGGTTTTCTGTGTCTTCTCAGGTCTGTCTTGGTACATCATTTTTTCGAGGAGCTTGCTCCTTCATCAACATTTTCAAATGGATTGACATGATTTTAATTAAGATTTTTGTCTGGGCTGGATTAGTAAGTAAGTGTGTCCTTTTTGCTCTTCGGTGCCGGAATCTCTGTGCATCCTGGAGCCTGACCCAGGCCTCTGTTTGTATGCGTCCTGTCAAATAAGTAATTATTGAATTCGATGATCCTTTCTGTGTTTTACATTTGTTTTATTTTCATTATTTTCGTACATTTTGCTTTGCTCCCCACCATTTGAACCAGCGGGCTCCTGTATCCATGGAGGCTGAGTGCTCCAGCAGAGAGCCTCTGCATGTCAGGGGCCGTCTCCGCTATGGCTGCTACTCACCACGGAGGCAATGCCCACTCACAGCGGCCCGCCAGGTCAGGGCAGAGCTGTCCCTGTGGTCCTGAGGCGGTCACTCTTTTAGCAGACTGAATCAAACATTTTATTATTCAACTTTTGGGGATGAAGCAAGCAAATGATGTAAAATAAGTCATAAGGCATGTTTTCTTGCACTATTAGCTAGAACCATTTCCAAGGGTTTATAAAAGATGCACACAGCAAATGCAAAGAGCTTCAACACTCCTTTTTAATTTCTGCAGCAATAAATGCAACATTAACAAACATACAAAAGTCTCCTGCACCACTCTCAAAAGCAGAATTACTGAATTACTGATTTTTATGGTGTGGTTCATGCGCTTTTAATGAAATCACTGCCAATACATACATTGTGCTCCTTAACGTCATTTTCACATTGGGCCGTTGTCCGTCATGCAGCCATCAGAAACCTGACAGTAAGTGCCACGGGTTTGTGGTGCAGTTTGGACGCTGGCTTTAGAATGAACCGCTTTTCTGACTGCCTTCGTGAAGCCGCCCCGTCCTGCAGAACCCCGATGGCGTGGACCGCCCGCCTTCACTGCCACCGTTTCCCAGGTCTGCGCCATTCAAGCCGTCGGGAAGCTTCACCTTTGCTTCAGAATCTACCTCACATGCTGCATGGATTTTCAACCCAGCTAATCTTGCTTGCTCATTTGGTAAATCAAGACATATTTTTCTAGCTCATCTTCCTGGATGCGGCAAAAGCCGGACCCAGTGTACCTGCTCTGTTGGTAGTCACGGTCATTTTCACACCAGGCAGAGTGTCCAGTCCACCCATTCACTCAGCAACTCCGTTAGCAAGACGACCAGCAGCAGCATCTCTGCCATCCGTGAAAATGGCGCCTGGCGATGGCCCCTGGCATCATTAAGCATTTCTCTGACCAACAGCACTTGCACCGCTGTGATTGTCTCCAGTAGAACTCGATACAACCTTGAAGAAACGGCAGTCCACCTGGCTAGCCAAGTGTTTTTCCTGCACCTGGTGGTCCAGAGAGCAGACAGCCTTTGGGAGGCATTATCCCTGCATGCTGAAACGGTCCTGGGTTTGTAAGAGACCCTTCTATTACCTCTCTTAATTTCCCGGGTCTGTTCTGATCACCGTCCCCACCTTGAGTAAGAAACATCCCCAGGGTCCGAGGCATGTTGTAACCCAGGGATGCGCTTCTCTTGGCAAACGTGAGAGCTCAGACGGTCATATCCAGAGCAACTCTTGTTTCTGGCTTCGGCTTACTTTTGTCAAGCTGTTAATGACAGCCCAGAACATATCTTGGTCCATTTGTAGCTTTAACGATAAACACTTCACCGCCCATCTGCTCAACACTGGGTAAGGCCGTCCGGTCATGTTCAGGTGTTTCATCCTGCTCGCTAAGTTCTTTCAGCTGTTCCCTTACCTCCAGAGACAGCATCGATCTCCTTGTGCTCCAGCGGCTTCCTGCCGAGGTCCTGAAGCATCCCTCTCTGGGGCCTGCCATGATGAGAAGCCCCAGACTAATTCTTTATGCGAGCAGAAACCCACGTCTTTCTCCCGAAGATCACCTGGTGGTCTCACACTCCTGACCTTGCAGTTCGCAGCCCAATGCATAACCACTATGCCGCTGCCGGGGCTCCGCTGGAACTTCAACCACGTGTAGAGTAGAGCAACTCCTAACGACCCAGGGAGTTCTCATGGTCATCTCCAACAAAGCACGTCACCAGACTTTCCCTCCCGGTGCCACCGACTGGGTTCACACCGACCGCCTGTGGGTTACCAACCGAGAGCAAACTGTGTGTGCCAACCAAGGACCTCGCCTAACACAGTGAAGATGCGTTTTCCATCTCACCAACTGGAATGACATAGGGACCCTGCCCCACATGAAACTATTCTGTGCCATCCACTGGCTCCACCATATTCTAAGTCTCCTCGTTCTCTCTCTCTCTCTCTCTCTCTGTCTCTCTCTCTGCCATTAAGTCAATTCCGGCCCTGGTGGCACAGTGGGTTAGGTGGTGGGCTGTTAACAGCAAGGTCAGCAGTTCTAAGCCACCAGCTGCTCCCTGGGAGACAGGTGAAACTTTCTATCCCAGTAAAGAATTACAGTCTCAGAATCCCAGGGGGACAGTCCCACCCGGTCCAATAGGGTAGCCCGAGTCGCCATCTACCTGACGGCGGTGAGAGCCATTTCTCTGTGTAGCTGCCCCTTGCAGAGTCCTGCAAAGATGCTTTGCACCCAGCAGAGGGAGCACACAGATGTTTGCAGTGGTGCTTCGAGGGCAGGCTGCACGTCAGACATCACTTCTGCCCCTATTGCACCGGCCAGAGCTCAGTCACATGGTCAACACCAGGCATGCCAGGAGCACTGGGTCTCAACGTCCGAACAAACCTGCTAACTCCCCATTTCTAACATCGCAGGGGATAGGCCTGCCACCCTGTCCCTCCCTGGCCTCCTGGACCCTGCGACTCAAGGGACTTGTGGGGACAGCCCCCGTAGGCTAAGTTTCCCAGCCACCCCTGTTGGGTTCTGAGAATGCTTTTCTGTCCCTATAACCCCCACTTGGCCTCCCGGGCAAGGACGCCTTAGAGATGGGCCTGGGGGCAGGTTTCCTGGGTGAGGTGGGGGTGAACCATAGTTCCCACTGACAAAGGCGGGGCGATCTACCCCCTGCCTCTGGACAAGCACTCGGTCTCTTTCAGGCAGAACACTCTCTCCAGTGCAGGCTCAGTGCCATCTAGCCCCCCTTTCCTGCCCTCCTCCTGTGCCCCCCACACTTGCTGCCCTCTTGCGGTGCCAGCCGCACAGCAAACTAGGCAACACACACACACACACACACACACACACACACACACAAACTTCAAAGATTCTGCTTCTAGGTAGAGACTGGCAGCTCCCTGAAAAAGCTAGCTGAAGAATTCTGCTTCTAGAGGGAGATGCCATCTCCACACAGCTCCTTCCTACAAAACCATAGTCCTGTTTAAAATTCACAGTCCCTGATGGAAACGGAGCACCCAGCAAACAAGGTAAGCTCAGGATGACTTGTGCTTGCTCTCATGGTTTTATCACATCACGTGACGAAACCCATGTGCCGTTGTCCCTCTCCTCCTGGGTGCTCTGTCCCCATCCCCTGCATCTGGCCTGTGCTCTGAGTGCCAGGGAGGCAGGGACACAGCGGCTTGGGCCTGGGCATGGGTATCAAGAGCAGCCTGTGTCCCAAGTCACGGTGACCTGCTGGGTCTGTTTCTTGGGGATCAGTCTTCCCCAGGGCTACCTGCCCTCCTTCCTGCCCTGGGGGTTTGGCATGGGTTGGCGCACCCACTTTGCCCCAGTGGCTCATGGTGAGGACGAGGCATGGTGGGGGCTGGTGGCAGAGACTGGGGGTTGGAGCAGGGCAGGGGCCACTGTGACCCTGCCTCTCTGGCCCCCAGGAGTGGTAGACAGGGGAGCTGCTGCTGGGTGTCGCTGAGTCAGTTCTGACTCACATGGACCCTACGCCCACGCCGAGAAACTCGGCCCAGTCCCGGGCCCTCCTCATCATTGCCGCCAAGGCCCTCCGCTCAGCTGGGACCTCATCCTTAAATACCGTCGGCTCCTGATCGCATCGGACTCTTGAAATCCTTCTCCCAGAAAGCCCTGCAGCCTCGCTCAGCTTCCCTCCCTCGGTATTGGCTGCATCCAGGAGAAGGGCCCAATTCTGACTCAAGTCTGCCATTGAACTTGAGCCCACCCATCCCCACAACTGGAGCCCAGGGCAAAAGCTTTCCATTGGAAACCCTCCCCCAGCACAGGCCGTATTAGGACAATGTTTCAATGAAGAGCGTACAGAAAGCACCCCCACGCCGCACACACAGGCCCCGCCCTCCCCCAGGTCCCTCTTTCCACCATGGTCACACAGGCCCCGAGGGTCCTTCACTTCCCATCCCTGCTCTGGGGCCCAGCCCCAACCCGGAGACAGCTTTCCAGAAGTGGAGGAGAGTGCTCCCCCAATGGTGAGCGTAGTGGTAGGCTTGTTGTCACACCATCTAGTGACTTCTTTTTCCCCTTCTGGGCCCTGCCAGCCGTCTCCGGTCCCTCGCAGTTCATGCCTCCTGCCTTTGTGGGCGTCGGGATCGACGGACGCTTGGGGTCTGTTGTCCATCCTGTGGCTCTGGAACCAGGTGGGGCTGTCCTGAGGAGTGGGGCTAGGAGCTGGATTCTGCAAGATACAAGCACCAGGCTATTCCAGGCGGCTGCAGCCCCTCCCACCCTGATGAGCGGTGGTCACAGGTCAGCCTCCAGAGTGCGAGGGCTGTGTGCTCTGAACCCGGGGAGGCCCTCCTCTGGCCCCTCTGGCAAACGTAACTGCCAGCCAGCAGCCTCCTTCCACGACTCGGTGTGTGCACCTGTTAGGTACCTGGAAGGTGGCTTCCTAAGGAACATGACTGACCTAGGTGCCACAGAGAGAGAGTCTGGTCGCTGGGTGCTCAAGGGCCATTTTTGCACAAAGGCCGATTCTGAATGATTCCCCACCTGTGGGGAAAGGTGTATTCTTATCAACCTGCGCCCGTTTCTCTCCTGAAGGGGAGTCTCCGTCCCATTGGCTAGGCACTAAGTGACTGAGGCCGATGTCTGAGGGGCTGGCACAGAAGTCTCCTAAGGTTTCCTGGTGAAATTTGTCACCAGGCCATACGGGGACACTTGATTGGCAGTACGTGGCCCCTTCAACTAAGAGTTGTTCATCCCTGATCGGGTGCAATGATGTCATTTTACAGATGGGTCTATGGAAGCGGGAGAGGGTGACACAAGCACAGGCGAGGCCACCCCAGGAGCGCCAGCCTCAGGGAGTCATGTCCCATCCGAAGGTGCTTCCTGGAGGGGGCTGTGGCTGCTGCTCCTCCCTCTTCCTCCTCCCTCCCCAGGGCGACCCCCATTACCCGTGACGATGAGGGTGGCCGTGCTGACTGCCTGGCCCAGCATATTCTCGGCCACGGCCTTGTACTGGCCGCTGTCCTTCAGGGTCACGCGGGGGATGACCAGGGAGCACACGCCCAGCACGTCGGCGCTGTGGACGGCGGGGTCGCCCTCCAGGCTCTGCCCGTCCTTGAACCAGGTGACCCGAGGCCGCGGCGCGCCCCGCACCGCGCAGGTCATGCTGCACTCGCAGCCCTGTGGCAGCAGGTGCGCGCGCAGCCCCACCAGGAACCCGGGCTTCTGCCGCAGCTCGGGCTCCCGGTAGCTCGGCGTCCTTACCGCGAACCTGTCTGTGTCGAAAGATGGGGACAACCGGAGGGTCAGAGAGTGGGGGGGACCTAGCCAAGGCACGGGGCAGGGTGCCCTGGGCAGGCTTAGGTAGGCCCTTCGTGAGGAAGTGGAGGACGGAGCCCTAGTGGCATCGTGGTCAGCCCTTGGGCTGCCAACCACAAGGCCAGCAGTTTGAAACCAATGGTCGCTCCTTGGGGGAAAGAGTCCCAGGCTCGGAAACCCCCGGAGCTGGTCCTGTCCTGTGCTCTCTTGTTGCTGTGAGTGAGGACTAACCCTATGGCGGTGCATCTGGAGAGTCGGGTGTGGGGCAGTGGGGCATGCCCCAGCACCTCCTACCTTCAAACCTGAAGTTGAAGGGTAGCGTTGTTTTAAAAAATGCTTTCCTTAAGATACTTGGGATAACCTTTTAAATATCCATGCAACTTAATTCATATTTATTTGGACAAGGTGGGATCGAAAGGCGGAAGAAAAAAACCAACCACAACCTCACCACCTAGCGCCTCCCACCAGTACATGGGGGTGCCTGCAGGCCTTCCAGGCATGCCCACGGTTCATCACAATGGCATCACCGCCCCGCCGGGTTACTTATTTGTGGTGATGCTATTGTTTGGTTTTGTTAAAAAAAAATTTTTTTTAATTTTCCAGTTCAGTTTATAACCTGCTTTTTCTAATGACTGCCTGTGATATCCACATCAATTCACCTTTAATACGCTTTGTTTTTGAAGGTATATTAATCCCTGGTGGGCCAACATTAAGCACTGGGCTGTTAAGTAAAAGGAGCCCTGGTGGCCTGGTGGTTTCACGTTGAGCTGCTAACTCCAGTTCTAAACCTCCAGCTGCTCCAGGGAGAAGGATGAGGCTTTCCACTCCTGTAAAGAGTTGCAGTCTTGGACACTCTCAGGACAGTTCTACCGTCCTGTAGAACCACTGTGAGTCAGCATGCACTCAGTGGCAGGGAGTTTCTTTGGTTTAGGGAGTGACCCAAATATTGGGCAGTTCAAACCCAGCCAGTGGATCTGCCATTCTGCTCCCATAGATTCCAAACAATTCACTGTCAAGGGTCTAGCTGTTCATTTAGATGTGTTCTGCCCCCCCCCCATATACACCTTGCTACCGCCCACCCCCCTCTACATACACACACCCAAAGACCAAGCTGAGCCCTTGCCCCGGCTGCTCCTCAATCCCTGGGAGCCCAGAGGCATGAGGAGCTGCTCACCTCGCTGCTGCCGGGGGATGTACCAGGGCTGGCTGGTGTCTGAGGGTGGGCTGGCTCCCAGCTCGTTCTTGGCCACCACCCGGAAGTGGTACTCGTGGCCTGGGAGGACACCCAGGAGCGTGAAGCGGTTGGTGTGGACTCGGTCAGCCACCTCCCGCCAGGAGCCGTGTGCAGAGGAGCGTGTGAACACTGTGTAGTGCAGCGGGGTGCCGTCTGACCCGTCCTCATCCAGGGAGGGCCCCCACTCAGCAGTCACTGTCCCCGGAACGTTCTCCCGCAGGCAGATGGGGCCTGGGGCTTGAGGAGTTGCTACAGCAGGGGGGGCAGAGGGAACCCACATCAGAGGGGCCAACAAGACCCGCGACAATGCTCAAGGGTTCTGTGTGTACTCTCCACTCTACCAAGTCTCCTGGGGCCAGAAAGTTAGAGGGTGGAGATTGTCTCTAAAGACCATCATTGCACATCACTTTAGTCTCTAAACAAAAGGACACAGGACGTGGAGTGCTTTGGGATGTGGGGGGAGGAGAGGACAGAGGTAGATGCTTTCAAATAACCAAGTCCCAGAGGTCCCCTTGTCAGTCTGTCTCACCATCTCTGTAGATTCAGAAATTCTTCAAGCGCAGGATGGGGCAGGGGTCTCAGTTACTGGGAGGACCCATGTAGCTACAGTGTACAAGGGCCATGGGCAGCCCTCTCAGGGTAAGGTCATGCTGTGAACTGAACTGTGTCCCACCAAACAGGTACTGAAATCCTGACCCCAGTACCGGTGGCCATGATTCTGTCTGGAAGCAGGCTTTTCTTTGTTAGATCACACCTGGAATAGCGTGAGTTCTAAACCTAATCACTTCCAAGTATTGAGTAGAGCAGTACAGACATCGAAGCAGCTACACGGATCGCCAGCAGCTTCTAGCAGCTGAAACAGACAAAGAAGGATCCCCCCACCCCCAGCCAGAGCCACATCCTGAATTCAGACTTTCAGCCTCCTGAACGGTGAGAAAATAAATTTCTGTTCATTAAAGACTCTGATTTGCGGTATCTGTGCTCTGGCAGCACTGGGCACCGAAGGCAGGCTCACTGCTGAGGTCACTCAGGCAGTCACCCAAACAGACAAGCTGCGGTCAGGTGGGGCAGCTGGCAGCATGGTGCGAGGGCGCGCACTCTGAATCCAGTGATCCGAGTTCAACTCTCAGACCTTTCCCTTAAGGAGCCCTGCTGGCATCCCGGGCTACGTACGCAATGGGCTGCTAACCGCCGAGTGGGCAGGTTGAAGCCCCCGGCCGCTCTGCAGAAGAAAGATGAGGCCTTCTGCCCCCATAAAGGGCTCCGGGCTCCGAAACCCTCGGGGAGCTCTGCCCTGTCCTGTGGGGTCACTATGCGTCACAGGTGACTCCGTGGCAGTGAGCTTGGTTTTGCATTGGCAATGTCTGGAGGCAGAAGGGCGATAAGGCCCTCCCGTGTGTGTGCTACGGGCTGGCAGTGCTATCTCCTGGCACACAGGCCAGGCCCGATGGAAACTTCCATGCTGAGCCCGAGCCCACACCTGCCTCACCTGCCACCCTAACGTGGAAGTTGTAGGTGGCCTCCTTGGCCTGCGGGTTCCGCAGCAGGACAGTGTAGAGGCCGCCGTCTGCGGGGCTGGCCACCGGAATCAGAAGCTGGGTGAGGCTGTCCATGGTGGTGGTCACACTTCTTTGGGGCAAAGGCAAGCCGTCCTTCAGCCAGGTCACCTCGGGCAGGGGGGCAGCCTGGGAAGAGAGGAGGGGAAGGCTGAGGGGGTCTCGTGGAAGCCGTGGCGTTTGTGTCGGGCCTCGGGGGCAGGGCAGGGCAGGGAGGGGGTGCACTGGGAGGTAAGTCACACATGTGGGCATGTGCCAGCAGTGATGAGGGTGGGTGGGTGGCTCACAGCCACGCAGACATCTGGATTTTCATTGGTGAGCAAGGAGCTGCTCTTGTAGGAGTCTGAATAGGCCTCCCTGGTTCACAGCGGGGCTGGGAAGGGAGCATTTCTGCACCAGAGCCCCAATAGGGGCTGGCTCAGGGCGCTCTGCGGTCTTCCCCAAGGCACATGCAGTGGCCCTGGGATGGTGTCCCTGAGCAGGGAGAGGCCAGCCCCACTGCCTGATGGCTGTGCTTCCAAACCCCCGAGGGGCCCTCCTCACTGGCCACAGTCGGCAGCAGCGTTAAACAGGGAAGAAAACACCTCTCCAGGCTGTTGTGCAGGTTAAAGGGGCTGCTCTCCGGAAAGCAGGCGGAGCAGGGCCCGGGAGGCAGCCACACTCAGAGTGCTCACTTGCACTGCCAGAGAGCTAAAGAGACCAACCAAATGCACTGCCATCGAGTCATGCCAATGCACAGAGCCCCTGAAGGACAGGTAGAGCTGCCCCTGTGGGTGTCCAAGACTAATTCTTTACAGGAGTAGAAAGCCTCATCTTTCCCCTGTAAAGCAGCTGGTGGTTTTGAACTGCTGACCTTGTGGTTAGCAATCCAAGGCTTAATCACTATGCCACCAGGGCTCAGAACATGTTGTTCTGAGTTAGAGAGATGGGGGACTGAACTGGGATCTGCCTCCTCTGAGTGTCCCATACGAATAACGATGGCAACGATCATCACTGGAATAATCATGAAAGCAAACATGAACCGGGTGACTGCCACATCCCAGCGCTGTTGGTGTGCTCCCCACGCACTCATTCCTTCAATCCTGGGAACAGCGCTTGCAGGTAAGTTACCGGGGGCCCCATCTGATACCAAAGTCCGGCAGCGAGGGCAGGGTGTGGCAGCGCTGTGCAGTGGCACGTGCTGTGTACTGGCCAGGGAGTGTCCAGATTACATTGGAGCGTCAGGGGCCCCCCCGCACTGCAGAGAAGACAGACTTATGGCTGTGGGGTCATTGCCGACCCACACCGACTAAGAGGGGAGAGTAGACCTGCCACAGAGGCTGCAAGGCTGTGGTCTTTGCAGAAGCACATCTTCCCCCCACGGAGCAGCTGTCGATTCAGCTGCCAAGGGTGTGTTTAATAGCCCAGCGCTTTCACCACGGTGCCAGCAGGGCCACCCCCACCCACTACCCAACTCATAGGGACCCCGCAGGACAGAGGGTTTCCGAGACTGCAGGTCTTGGCAGGAATAGACGGCTTCAGCTTTCTCCTGAGGAGCAGCTCGTTGGTTGGAACCACCAACTGTGGTAGCAGCCCAGCGCTTAGCCCACTGCACCACCATCACAAAGCCGAGACGCGAGTGCGGGTGCACAAGACGGATTCCCTGCTGTCAAGTAGCGTCTGACGGCCTTCTGTAGGTGTTTCCAGGCTGCAAAAGCCTTATGGGAGCAGACAGCCTCATCTTTATCCCAAGCAGTGGTTTCCGACTGCTGAATTTACGGTTAGCAGCCCAATACACAGCCCACTATGCCACCAGGGCAGCCAAAAGCATAAACTCACTGCCATCGAATCAAATCGGACTCAGAGCCACTCTGGAAGTGCCCCTGTGGGTTTCTGAGACTGTAGACCTTTGCAGGAATAGCAAGCCTCATATTTCTAGTACTAGTGCGGCTAGTAGTTTCAAACTGCTGGCCTTGGGGTTAGCAGCCCAATATGTAGCCCACTCCACCACAAGCCTCCTTGCTACCAGGGGCAGACCCTCTGAATGTTCAGACCTGCTTGGAGATGCAGTGCCAGCACAGCCCACTGAAGGGGTCTTTAGAGTCTAAGCAGAGTGGCCACCTAGTGGCCAAGTGAGGGTTCTGCCTTCAAAGCGCAGGCTCCTTCCTGTGTCAGGTCTGATTTCTAGCACAAGCCCAGCCCACACTTCATGGGCAGGGAAGGCCACTGAGTAGAGATGGAAGGACCTTGGGCCGAGTCAGATCCCTGGGCCTCTCAGGGCCCTCTCCTTGCAACCCACGAGGTACACTCACCTCAAAGGGCACGGGCACACGGACCAGGTCCCCGGCCCTGACTGTCAGCGCGTCCTTGGTGCTGGAGTCCGTGAGGAACTTGGGACAGACTAGAACACACAAGACATTGGTCACCGCCCTCTGCAGTTGGCCCCAGTCCTACTGCAAAAAGGCTGGAGGAGGCTGGGCCAGATTGCTGGATGCTCAGCTCCTGGGGGCTGGAGACGCCAAAGGAACAGGGGAGGGGGCTGAAGGAGGGGGGAGAACCCTAAAGGGGGAGGTGGGATTTCAGAAAGGGAAGCCCCCAAAGGGCCAGTGCTAGACTGGAGCAGAGGGGAGCAGCGGACACAGACTGTGGCGCCCTGGAGAAGTGGCTTGCCTGGGATCACATGGGTGGAGTTAGAGACAGCACCAGGACTAGGTACTGGGACTCTGAGTCCAGGTTCCATGTGCTTTTAATAAATGAGGGGCTTTCAAACATCCACGGGGAAACCCATGGTTTTTCATTTACATTCTTCACGAACCCTCGGAAGCCCCTCCTATTGTTCCCTGAACTGTCCTAGTACCCCTCGGGGCAGTAGGATGACCGAGGGTCAAAGGCAGGCCCACAGCTTCAATGGCTCGTGCCATTGAATGTGGGGCACGCATCCCCTGCGTCTGACCCGCTGAGCGGAGCTCCCAGAGCAGTCAGGCACCCTGGAGAGAGCGCTGATGTTGGGGCCAGAGTCTCCCGGCCACACCCTGCCCCTGCCACACACCAGTGGTCAAAGGGGGCTGGCGGGGGTGGAGTGGGTGGGGGGTGTTACAATTTATCTGGCCAGATGGTTCTGGTTCAGGTAAATGAGAAAACAAATGAGAAGGCCTACTTGCTCCCAGTGCCTAGGACATTGCAGGGACTCGCCAACATCACTTCACTGCAGGGGGTGGGGGGGATGAGGTCTGGCTCAGCCATTGCCCATATCCACTCAGGAAGGGCCTGGGAGGAGGGGTACTCACCTGAAACAGGCCTGGCTTGTATCAGCGTGTCCAGGGCAGTGGGATGGCCACACCCACCATCATTCACGGCTGCCACGTGCACAAAGTAGTTCTCTCGGGGCCGAAGCCCCTTGGCTGTGTAGGTGGTGGCAGCCACAGTGCCCCCGTGGCATGCCCGCCACTGGGGCCTGTCTGAGCCACGCAACTGTACCACGTAGCCCATGGCTTCGTCCCAACTCTTGGGGTCTGGCTGCTCCCAGCTCAGAGTGATGCTGGCGTGTGATGTGTCTGTCACCCGGAGATCCCGAACGGGCCCAGGAAGCCCTGGCAAAGCACCAAGAGGATGTCAGAACCACCGCTGCCCTTGGGGGGCGGGTGCTATCCATTAGCGCTCCTGTGGGAGTCTGGGAACTTCTATCACTTCTATCACAGGTCTGCTTCTAGGCTTTCTGGAAGCACATCCCTGAGATGGACTCCTTATTCTCTCCCACATGCACCTCCTCCAGGATGCCAGCTCATTCCATGCATTCCAACCTGCCAGCATGACTGGGCACCCCGCTTCCCCTGCCTGTCGGTGCCATCCAGTTCCCTCTGACTCGCGCCGAGTAGAACCGCTACATGGCGTTTTCAAGGCTGCGGGCTTTGGGAAGCGGAGAGCCAGGTCTTTCTGCCAAAGTGCCGCTTAACCTCTGTGCCCCTCGAAGACAAGACCGCTCTTTTTCATTCTGAACTCTAGGCTCCTGGCTGAGACCCCCTTCCGGGTGCCTGGCTCAGACGCCTCGTTCTTCACCTTTTCAGTGGGGATGGTATGAGCATAAAGCATACTCCCCCAAGGTCTTGGAACAAGAAGAAGGCATGGGGCAAGCTTTGGGGTTCTCCGTGTTGCACAGCAGCCTAAGACTGTGGCTCTCAACCTGGGCTGTGTATTGGGCGTATGGGGAAGCTTTACCAATGGTGGTGTGAAGCTCTGACCCAGGAGGTTCAGATGGCCTTGCCCTGGGGTACAGCCTCGGCATCAGGTTTCCAAGAGCTCCTGAGTGTTTCTAAAAACACAGCTATGTTTAAGAACTACGGTTCTAGGGCGATGCCTTTCAAAGGATACCTTTCAAGATCCGATCATTTTCTACTTGGACTTTTTGTTGAAATCAAGTGCGTTCAGTAGTGAAAGAAGACATTTTGAATTAATTGGTATGTGTGTGTGTGTGTGTGTGTGTGTGTGTGTGTGGTGACTAACACAGGATCCCTGTTGCTCAGAGCACTTATGCAGACTCTCCACTAGATGGCAGCACACACTGACAGTGGGGCAAGCGCTCCCCACAAAATTCCAGAGGCAGAAAATAAAGGCAGGCACTATGTGATCACAAAAGGGTTCATGAGATTTTGTTGAAAACGCAGATTTGGATTCCTTATCACTGGGCTAGGGCCGGAGATGCTGTGTTTCTAACAAGCTCGCAGGTGAAGCTCTGGACCCTTAGTAACAATGGTCTAGAAAGTGCAGGTGTCGCTGAGCTGCCTGTAGGTTGTCAACTGATGTCAAGGCAACTCGTGGTGATCCATGTGAGCAGACAACAGCTCCAGAGGACTCAAAGACTGTGACTTTTCAGAAGCAGGTGTCCAAGCTTGCCTTCCAAGGTCCCTCTGGCTGCTACCGGGCATTGGATAGCCTAATTGTCTCTTTATGCCCGTCACTGATCAAAGAGAGACCAACAGTAAAGCAGGAAGAGGTTTGGTCCACTTGTAAGGAATACGATGGCCAGGCCAGGCCAGCCTTCCCTGCCATCCCTCCACTGTGTACCCTGCCCTTCCTAGGACTACAACTGAGATGCCACTTGAAGAGCCACCCTGTAGAATGCTCTATGCTCACTGAGTTCATTCAGAGCCCCTGAGCAGCTGCATTGCATCGGGCCCCAAGGGGAACAAAGATATATTCCCAGGGCCTTTTGCATTTGTCTAGGGCAGCAGGTCTCAGGAGCATGCAGCCCCATCAGGGACTTCTCGCGAGCAGGGTCATGCAGGTGTGGGACAGAAAGCACTGTCTACCAACCTTGGAGTGCTAGAATGGAGCTGCTCATGGGTGTTTTCTTGTTTTTTAAAAGTGATACTCAAAAAAACAAAAACAAAACCAAAGCATAAAAAGTGATTCTCTAAGCAGTAAGCGGCAACGTCATGCTAAATGCGGAAAGGACTGGAGTTGTCAAAGATTTCATTGTGCTTGGGTCCACAATCAATACTGGTGACAGCAGCAGCCAAGAAATCAAACGATGCATTACACTGGGCAAAACTGCTGTGCAAGCTCTCTCTCTAACAAGTTAGGAAGCAAGCATGTCACTCCGAGGACAATGCATGCCTGACCCAAGCCATGGGGTTTCCAATCACCTCGCATGCATGGAGAAGTGGGGCACTGAATAAAGAGGATCACAGGTGAGTCGGTGCACCTGAATAACGGTGCTGGTAAAGAAGACAGACAACGGCACAGACTGCCGCAAGGGCAGCACTGCAGTCCTGGAAGAACGGCAGCCAGGATGCTCCTTAGAAGCAAGGACGGTGGGACTTTGTCTCAGGTACGTCGGAAAGATTATCAGGAGGGACTGGTCCTGGGAAAGGACATCACGCTTGGTACAGAGGGTCCTTGAGAAAGAGGGAGGCCTTTGAGGAGCTGGACGGACACAGTGGCTGCAGCCATGGGCTCCCACAGAGCAGCAGTTGTGAGCACGGTGCAGGACCAGGCAATGACTCCCTCTGTGAGTCGGAACCAACTCGACGGCACCTCACTACGTACCGCTCACCGGGACTGAACTGAGTAAGGCACCTTTCCTGAAAGCAGGGATTTGGACATAACCTAGGCTGTGTTCCAGAAACATCTTTGATCACGGATTTTGCTGCTTGACGGTGCTCTCAGAATGTCTCGGTACATGGCTCTTCCGGAGCCCACAGGCCGGGAACTGCTGTTCAGGACCTTACATTTTTTTGAGAGATGAGATTTACACGTCGAGCTCCTGGCATGATGCTGGACTCCTAGTGATGCTGAGCAGATGTTCGTTGGCTCAAAGAAAGATGACTGAGGTCCCCTATGGCCCCCCGGAATGAGCCCATCTCCCTGAGGGGAGGTGGTGATTATAAGACAGACAGGCCAGCTTGGGGACTGGCCTGGCCAGGGGCCAGAGAGAGTGTATCTTGGGAAGGAGCTGCCTTGCTGCCTCACCTCTGTGTGACCTTAGTGTAGAGCCTATATCCCTCATTCCCTGAGGAGCCCTGGTGGCCTTAGTTTAGAGCCTATATCCCTCATTCCCTGAGGAGCCCTGGTGGCCTTAGTTTAGAGCCTATATCCCTCATTCCCTGAGGAGCCCTGGTGGCCCAGAGGCTAAGTGCTCAATCACTAACCCAAAGGTCAGCAGCTCAATGCCACCAACTGCAGGGAAAGAGGCCACAGTCCATTTCCTTGGAAGCCCATGGGGCCTTCTCCTTGGCCCTAAAGGGTCACTATGAACTGGGGCTGACTGGATGGGAGTGCGTTTGGACCCTGAGTGGCCCAAGCGATCTGCAATCAGCAGCTGGCCAGGAGGTTGGTGGTCCCCACACAGCAGCTCCCTGAGAGAAAGGCTGGGCACCCTGCTGAGGCAGAGCTCGCAGCCAAGAGAGCCCGATGGTGGGATTACCCAGTAACACATGAAGACCCCGTGCTTGATGGCAGCCAACACCCCCCAGCCCAGCTGGGACCCCTGAGCTGTATCTTGCCCGGTGGAGGTGGCCTTTCGAGACTGCGGTCCCAGCACTCCTGACCTTCCTAGGGGACTGCCCCGACCTGTGCCCACCTGCCTCCAGTGCCATCCCTTGCTCAGCCCCGCAGCCTGGGAAGGTGTGCTGCTTACTCCTGGGGTCCCAAGCAAAGACAGCATCCGACGAAGGCCCAGGCTCCCCGGGGCCCGAGGGAGACATGGCTGTGACCGGGAACTCATACTGACAGCCCTGCTGCAGGTCCGCCACCGTCCACCTCTTCTCTGTGAACAGCAACCCCATGCATGAACCGCCCCCCTAGGAAGACCTAGACTGGGCCCCAAACCCCACCACCGCCAGGGGTAGCCCGTGCCTTCCAAGGGGAGCAGAGCTGGACTCAAGGGGCCGGCCGGGCGAGTCCCTTTCCCGTTCTGCCATGATCTTGCTAGGGGGCCAGGAGCAGGCATTGTGAACCTCCCTGACTCCACCCCACCGGGTTGCTGTCTGTGTTGAGTGAAACGGAGCCCCGAAGCTGAAGCCTGAGCTGGGGGCATCCTCTTCCGCCTTCTTTCCCTCCCGATTCAGCCTCAGCCACGCCCGCAGCTCTCCCCGCTACCAGAAAACGCTTTAACTGCTGGACGGAGTCGGGGAGCTTCTCTCTGTTTCACAGAGGAGGAAACCGAGGTCTGGGGAGGGGCCTGAGCTGCCCAAGATCAAGACCAGGCTCGGAGGGAGCTCCCCTCTGGCTTCCAGCTGGGGCTTTCCCACGGGACCCAGCTCCCCCAGCCATGGATCTTGTCATTCTTATTGGGGGCTGGAAGGACAGTCCGTATACTACAGAAGTTTAGTAGCACCCTGGCCTTGTCACACTGGATGCATCCAGCATATCCCCACACTCTGCCACGTGTCCCCTGGGGACACCCCACCCCAGAATTCAGCCTGCCTGGCCTGATAAGCCTGGCAGAGCACCCTGGGCGGAGTACGGGCCAAGGGCCCGCGCACTCACCAGGCACGGGCTGGGCATCAGCCGCTGTCGAGATGCTGCTCCCCTTCTTGCGCTTCTCAATCAGGTAGCCCAGGACGTGGGCACTGCCGGGGCCCCGAGGTGCCGCCCACGTCATTGTGTTGCCCTGGCTGGAGGCTGACAGGATGGCAGGGGCGGCAGGGGGCTTGGTGAGAGCTAGGGGCAAGAGAGGGTAGGCTCTGAGGGTGCTGCCAGCTGCTCTGGGTCCTGCATTGGCAGTTGAAAGGCAGGGGTGATGGGCATGGAGAAGGCATCGGGACCTGAGTCTACAGCCACCACCACCACTACCACCACCCTTGAGCACCAGAGTCCCCTGGTAGAATGTTCCAGGCTGTGGGTGTCTGAGGGAAGAGGAAGCTCCTCCCAACGCAGGGTTCTGAGGCAGTACAGGTTGCCTGACCCTGTGCACCCCCACCCCAGAGCACTCATGGTGCCTGCAGCAGCTTTGGGGGGACATCACTATGAGCCTCAGAGCAAATTCAGACCACCACCCTTGGATGCAGACCTCCCACAACTGGGAAAGGATCCCTAAGTCCTGTTTCCAGACCTGGAAGGAGGCTGTGGGAAAAGGGCTTTCCCAGAGCTTTAAGGGGCCTTGGGATGGCCAGTCTTTGGCACTGGGGAGCCCACCAGTGCTACCTGCCCCCTCTCTAGCTGTGTCCTCTCACCCTCAGGAGCCACCAGCACCTCCTCAGACTGCAGGGTCTGCCCAGCGCCCTCGGAGGTCACAGCTCGCACCCGGAAGACATACTTCCGGCCCTGTTCCACCTGGGCGTCGGTGAAGGTCGGGCTGTCTGCAGGGGCCTCGCCCACCTTCAGCCATGTGCTCCTACCAGCCTGCCGCCTCTCCACCACATAGTGCTGCACGGCACGGCCCCCGTCATCCCGGGGCGCCTGCCAGCGGAGGTGGACCCGGGCCCCGTGGCCATGCTGCACCTCCAGGGGTCCCTGTGAGGGCTGGGGCTTGTCTGGGGGCCCAGGGGATGAACAGGAAGAGAAGGGGTATCAGATGAGCTGAAAAGGGAAAGGGGGCACCCACCATGAGGGATGAGCTGTCGGGGGGTCTGCCCTCTGGTAGCTGACTGGGCACCTGCCCAGCCCTTTGGGCCACAGTCCTACCCTGCAGCGCCACTGAAGACCGAGGACCACCGTGCCTCAGGCCTCAGGGTGCTGATGCTCAGGAGGGACCCCACCCAACCAGACTGAGGAAGGGAGAGCTTCCCAATGTGGGGGAGGGCCCAGGACCTGAGTACCCGAGGGCTGGCACCTGTGACTTGCAGGGTGAGCTGGGCCTCCGCGGAGCCTCTGGCGCTCCTCAGCGTCTTGCTGTACTGGCCACGGTCCACCCTGCTGGCACTGGGGAGGCACAGCCGGGTGCAGCCATCCCCCAGGGCCACCTGGGTCCCCCGGCCACCACCGTCTGGCACTTCAGCCCTGTCCTTCCTCCAGGACACTTGGGCGGGGAGGCGGCTCTCGAAGGGAACCTTCACTCTCACTGGCCTCCCAGCCTTGACCTCCAGTGGCTCCCTCGGCTGCTCGGCCACATTCGGGGCGATGGTGGGGGCGTCTAAAGAGAGCGAGAGGCAGGGGAGGAAGGGAGAGCAGGGCTCTGGGGGGAGAAGGACCCAGAGAAGGGAGGGAACCCCTGGCCCCATCTCTCGAGGAGAAACCAGCGGGAATGGGCTTCATCTGCAGCAACAGGGCCCAGGGTTAGACTGCCCCAAAGACTTCCTGAGGAGGAAGGCAATTACATGCAGGTGCAGGGAGGCTATGAGTTGATTTCTAAATTCAGAGGTTCTTCCCCAGGCAGGGTGGGAGTCAACCTTGGCTGCAGACTACAACAACATCTGGAGGGGGAGCAGCAGCACAGGCCCCTGCTGTGGCTCCCATGGGGGGGGGCTCACTCTGGGTGCTGAGGGCGCCCTCACTCTGCTGGTTGCCGGCGACAAAGGGGTGTCTCCCCGCCTGGGCCGCCTGCACACTTGGGAGGAGGAGTCCGTGCACGAGACCTTGCCGCTGAAAGGTTCCTCCGTCCTGGGCAGTGAGCTAGAGACAGGGGTCACCGCAGGAGAGGGTCACTCCCATGCCCTCCCTGCTGCCCTCCTGACTGCTGAGTCCTAACCACTGCTGGGCTGCGCACCTGTCATGGCTAGCACGCACGCGCTCTTCCTCAGGTGCTGAGATCCTTTATGGTGCCAGCCTGGCTGATAAACACAAGTGGGATTGACTGAAGGGCAGAGAGATAAATGGCTTGGTGAGCCTTGCCTTTCTTGTCTCTCGCTCTGTGATCATCGGACCAGTGTGTGGCTGCCTTGCTTGTTCTGTGCCTCAATTTAAAGGCTACACTACCTGTGGACGCCTAGCCTGTGGACTGTGTCGCTGTAAGTTGAGGTCCCTTTAAGACATCTCTGGAGCTGGGGACTGGCGGGTGGTGACCTGCCTTGTGCTTGGCTGCTGTGCTGACATAGCCTAGCTCTCTCTACAAATAGAGGAAGATCTGGCATCAGATAGAGACTTTAAGGCCTGCTAGTCTCTCAACTTTCTCTCAGGGACGTGAGTTGCACTGAGCCATTTGTAGTGCTTTATAATTTAACTGTTTATTTCTTGTATTATATATTTATCTGTATATGATTTAACAGTTCATTTCTTGTTATATATCTAATTATCTTTATGAATAAATATATTAAATTATCAGCAATTTGGTTTTATCTCTCTAGAGAACCCTGTCTAACACAGGTGCATTTTAAAAACAAAACCCTGCTGTCACCAAGCTGATTCCAGACTCCGGACAGCCCCCGTGTTCAGGGGGAACCTGCTCCCTCGGGTGCTCAATGGCTGCGATCTCCCAGAACCAAGTCACGGGGCCTTTCTCCTGCAGCACAACTGGGGGAGGGCCGGTTGCAGAGGGCTGTTGGTGCCACTCAGGGACCTTGCTCCCTGTGGAGCTACCGCCTCGGTGTGGTGCCTACGGTCCCTCTATGAGCTAGGTTCAGTGACCAGTCCCGCATTAGGGATGAGGACGCTGAGATGTGCAGCAACTGACCCTGATCCTGGAATTGGGAAGTGGCTGCCGTGCTGGGCTCTGGCGCCAGGCCTCGCTGAGACCAAGGCCTTCGCCCTGAACCTCTGAGATGGCAGCTATCATGGAGGGTCCCACAGCGACCCTGCAGGAGAGGGCAGCGCTGCCCCCAGGCTTTCCCAGCCTGGAGTCTCTGCAGAAGCTGACTGCTACATCTTTCTCCCTTGGAGCAGCTGGTGGGCTCAAGGCCAGCCTTGTTAATGGCCGGATGCTTCACCACTGCGCCACCAGGCTCCTAGTGGAGGTCCTGGAAAGGCCCTTTGGAGGGTGGAAGGGGAGGAAGGCGTGTGCAGAGGGAGGGAGAGTCTATTTGAAAAGCGGCTTCTCTCTCTCCCCAGCTTTGTTGGCCCGACTGCTGAAACGTGTTGGGGGGGGCGGGTGGCATCAATGAGATGAGGGATGAAAATTCCTTCTGGCAAAGCGGCTCCTGCTTCCCTACCTGCCCCTCACCCACCCTCGATGGCGGGTCCCAGGAAGGTGGGGGGCAGTACCTTGACACCATCCTTAAGCCAGGCGCCAGGGCCCAGGTCGCTGGTGAGGGTGCTGGACAGCATGGTGGCCTCCGCTTGCTGGACTTTGTTGTCAGTCAAGCCCTGGGAGAAGTGGCTCGTGGGGCCTGGAGAGACACAAGCAGGACCTGGGCTGGTCATACAGGAATTGCCCCAGACTCAGCCTCCCGGGCCATAGACTGGGAGGCCACCTCCGTCCCATCTCCCATCGGCTGGGCTAGGCCAGCCCACAGGCTAAGCCTCTCGTTGTGCTCCACAGAGCGTGGCCTGCACAGGTCAGGCAGCAGGACGGGGGCAGGGGCAGGGGAGGCACAGACACAGAGGGTTAGGCCAGAGGCGGCGCCACCGTGGTGCCCTGAGTGTAAGGCTTCCAGGCAGAAGCCAGGGACCCTCTGGGCCGGATGGCGCCGGGAGGGATACCATCTGCACAAGGAGGAGGAGGGGCACTGGGCTGGACAAAAGCCTGGGGTCAGAGACAGAACTGAGCTCAATCCAGACCCCCACCCCCACCCCCTGCTGAGCATTCAGGGCACCCCCAACTAGGCTCTACCACGCTGGAGACACCCACCTTGGGTCTCCTCGGAGAAGTTGCCAGTGCCCGGCTGCTCCTGCCCACTTCTGCAGCTGTGGGTGGCATCGCTCTGGCAGCCGTGGATGCCAGCGCTTCCCACTGGGCCACCTGGCCTGCTGCCAAGCTGACCTGCAGGCTCCTGGCTCCAGTCTTCACTCGGGGTCTTCCCAGGGTGCCCTCTTTTCTCACCTCCACGAGGCTGCCCCGGGCCCTGGGCCGCCTCTGTTCCCTTGCTCTTAGGCACGCCACTCCTGACCCCTGGCTGGGTGCGAGACCTGCCCCCCAGTGAGCTGGATCTCCGGTGGGACTCTGCTCCCAGGTCCCCATTCTTTATCGGGGTCCTGGGACCTACATCCTTGTCACTCTCCCCCTCCAGGGCCCCCTGCTCCCTAAAGACCCCACTCCTGCCTCTCTGACCCTGGTCCTGCTGGGAGTTCCGGCCCTGGACAGCCCCTGGTCTGTCTCCCCAGCCTGGTCTGTCACAGGGCCCCTCGGTACCACTCTGGGAGCCCCAGGATCCTGACTGCCTAGACTCTGGAGTGAGGCCATCCCCCCACTCAGGGGAGCAGCCCTTGCCCAGGACACCTGAGCCCTCCAGGCCACTACAGGTGTCCCTTTTGTTGTCCGGGCCCCATGGACCCTGACCCTTAGCTGGCTCTTCTTGGTCTGGGGCACCCTCCCTGCCCTTGGAGCCCCCAGGCCCCCCAGGGGTGCCCCTGGGCATGGCGTGCCTCTCATGCAGAGAACTAGAATTCCTGGAGTCTGGGGGTTGGTTCCCAGCATCTGTGCTGTCTTGGCCAAGCCCCCGGTCTTCCCAGCCTGGGGAGCAAGCACCGCTCACCCCTCGCCCGTTAATGCCCCCCAAGCTGGAGTTAGCCCTGCCCTCCAGCACAGAGATGCAGTCCCTAACTTGACCAGGTTCTTCTGAACTCCCCCAGTCTGCTCCCCTCCTGCTGTCTCCCGGCACCCAGTCTCCAGGCCCCTGAAGTGCCCACCCTCTCTGGTTGGCAGATCCAGCCCTGTCTGTTCCTCCTGGGCCTGTTCCCCGACAGGCCAGTGCATGCTCTGCATCCACTGCAGCTGCTGCTTCCCGGTCCTCACCCTGCCCTGACCCCTGACCAGAAGGCCCCACTGCCCCTGCTCGACCTGCCAACCTGCCCTCCGCTCCGGGAGCCTCTCCGGTCCTAGGAGGTCCCAGGACCCCAGAACCATCTTGCCACCCACGGACTCCCAATTCCTCTTTGGAGTCACTGGCCCCCCAAGTCGTGGGGGTGTTTCCATGGCCCCCAAGACCATGCCCGGAGCCTGGCCCGCCTGAGGGCATCTCTGGCCCTTGCTGAGGGCTCAGCTGCCCTGGGCCCCTGGGGCCATCCCTGTGCGCCATCCAATCTGCAGTTCCCAACAGTCCCGTCACCCCGGAGGCCACCCCAGGCCCGGCCCTATTCACAAGCCCCACTCCTCTGCCCCTCTGCAGACCGCCCTTGGAACTCGAACTTCCAGGGGACACCTCTGACAGCGGCCCCCTGCCTGGCCCAGACCCTATGGCAGCCGGGCCTCCCTGTCCTCCCTCCCACCCCAGTCCAGCCAGGGGACCCGTGACTCCATCACCACAACCATTCTCACCCCCTGGTCCCATCGCTCCACGACCGCCCTCACCCCCCAGCCCCGGCTCCTGAGTGCCCCGCAAGCCCCTGCGATGGCCTGCCTCACCCCGTGACAAAATGTCCCCAGCGTCCCCGAGACCACCGCTACCATCTTGTTCACCTCCCAGTGCAACCCCCCGAGGGGCCCCTGACATTCTCCTATAGCTGGTCTCACCCCCTGATCCCATTTTCCCTGAACCCCCCAAACCAGCCCTGTGGTCTTCCTTTCCCCATGAACCCATTCCATTAGGGATCCCCAAATTTGTCCTATAACCTAGCTCACCCACTGACCCCATTTCCCCAGAAATCCTAACACCATCTCTGAAACCTGCCTCACCCCCTGGCCCCATTCCCCTGAGGCCCCCTGAACCACCTCTGAAGTCTCCCTCACCCCCTGACTCAATTCCCCTGAGACCCCCTGAACCACCTCTGAA